GTGCAATTATTACTACTTAAAAAAGGACTAAACTATGAAGTGATCAAAGATCTAAAATTCTTGTTATTATGAATTTTGAACATCCAGTTATGTCATGAGGTTCATTCTTCATTAAAGCGTCATGGGAGCAGCTAGATGGTGCAGTGCATAGAGTTCCAGCCTTGGAGTCAGGAGGACCTGAGCTCAAATAAACTTCAGACACGTGACACTTACAAGCTGTGTGACCCTGGGCAAGTCACTTAACCCCAATTGCCTCAGCAAAAAAAAAAAAAAAGTCATGATATCTTTAAATAGATATGAGATTGAATTTCAACAATAAAACATGTCTCTCAGTGATTATTTTATAATGTTTTTCTGTTACTTAAATTGGCTCTGAAAGCCATCCTGAGGGAATATTTGCTGTATTCAGCACGGCTCCCTTCTGCATCAACACCTTTTCTCCTTGGCACTTTTTGTGAGTCACTGTGGCTGAAAATATCTTCACATTTTGGCCACATTGGTGATAAGCCTCTACAAGTTTAGCTAGGAGGGTTCTTAGATTACAGGCACACATAGCAGGCCTTTAAGAAATGTTTGTTGATTGATCGGTAGAACCCAGGATCATGTCCCCACCTTGATGAGCATCAGATGACTTTTGTAGAGGCATAAATACCATGATCAAGTTGCGATTGCCAATAATATGATTACATTTAATTTTATGTCACCAGAGTAGAACTGTTGTAGAAGAGGCAGCAAAGTATTATGTGGTTTAGCCTCCTTGAACATTTCTAATTTAGCTGGTCTTTATTGATTCAATTAAGCAAATATTTATTAAGTGCCCACTATGTGTCTGGAATTGTAGTAGGAGTTGGGAATACCACAAAAACAAAACAGTCCCTGCTTTACAATCTACTGGGGGCAGAGGGGAGGCCTGGATATTGGAGAGAGACAGAAGGAGAAGAAGAAGAAGAAGAAGAAGAAGAAGAAGAAGAAGAAGAAGAAGAAGAAGAAGAAGAAGAAGAAGAAGAAGAAGAAGAAGAAGAAGAAGGAGAAGGAGAAGGAGAAGGAGAAGGAGGAGGAGGAGGAGGAGGAGGAGGAGGAGGAGGAGGAGGAGGAGGAGGAGGAGGAGAAGGATGAGGAGGAGGAGAAGGATGAGGAGGAGAAGGATGAGGAGGAGGAGGAGAAGGATGAGGAGGAGGAGGAGAAGGAGAAGGAGAAGGAGAAGGAGAAGAAGGAGAGGAGAGGAGAGAAGGAGAGGGAAGGGAGGGGAGGGGAGAAGGAGGAAGATGTCAACAGGATGTATATACAATAGCTTTAATAATTGGGAGAATCAGAAAAAGTCTCAAGTTGGAGGTAACCCTGAGCTGTGCTTTGCAGGAAGGTAGGGAATCTATAAGAAGGAAATGAGATAAATGCATTCCAGACAAGAGAGATCGCCTGTTCTAAGGCACAGAAATGTGAATGTCATTTCACAACTAAGCAGGTCAGTTTGAATATAACCAAGTCCACTAAGTAGGTTAGTGGCTGCCTAGAGGCAGCTAGGAAGTACAATGGATAGAGCACTAGACAGGAGGTGGGTTAAACCCAAGTTCAAATTTAGGCTTCAGACACTAGTTGTCTGTCCTCAGGCATGTCACTTAACACCTCTCTGCTTCATTTTCTTCAACTGAAAAATGGGAATAATAACAGCACTTAACAGTAATAGTAAGCACTTAATAAATGCTTGTTTTCTCCTTCCCTCATATGAAGCAAGACTAGAAAGGTAGGAGAGATGATAGAAAGCTATTTTTTTTAAATGACCATACTAATGTGAATGAAAATTATTCCCAAAGGAAGGGGAAATTTGGATAACTGTAATGACCAATCTTGGTCTGAGAGAATGAACAATAAAGCATGTCTCCCGTCTTTCAGCAGAGAGAATCAAAGGATCGCAGACTCAGAACTGACCATTTAGTGGAACATTCTTGTTTTCTAGACGGACTGTACTGAAGCCCAGAAATCTGAAATGACATGCCCCAAAATCATGCCAGTTAAAGGTGGGGACTGCAGCTACCAAATGCTCCATACAGTATCAGAGGCCATCACTTTATTTCTTGATTTGTTAAGTTGCTTTTCTTAGTTACAAAGAAGGAGTCAATACTGGTGAGGGGGAGGGGGCAGAAAGAAAGGAAAGAAATGCTATGTCTGGAAATGATGATAATATAAAACCAAAAGGCATCAAGAATACTTTTTAAAGGAATGTGGGTATCTGATTTTGGAGGGCTTTAAATGCAAGCTAAGGATTTTGTATGTCACCCTAGACACAATGGGGTGCCACTGAAGATTTCTGAGAACAGGAATGACACAGTCAGATCTGTGGTTTCGGAATATTAATTTGACAGCTGGATGGAACATGGTTTGGAGAATGAAAAAAAAAAATTAGAAGCAGAGAGACCAATGAGGGGCTATTGTAGTAGCCAAAGCTATAATCATCTTTAGCCTAAAATTAATGTCAAAGAAATGAGTAAGATAATGGTTCCCAATTTGTGGTTAGTTTCTATTGCCTTTTTTTAAAGTATAACATGGTAGCTTTTTAAAGCAAATTGCATGTACCCTTTTTAGTACAAATGCATGACTAGTGAGCTCTTCTTTTTCAAATTTGAACTCCAGAGTAGGGTGAAGTAAAACCAGATATTCACACTAGGAAGGAATCAAGGCATCTCCTACCCTGTCCTCTAATTTTTTGGCAGGATCTGGTGCTTTGCCACAGATCTGCCCAGGAATGCCACAGTTCAGTAACTACATAGCTCTTTTGGAATGAGATACATTGTCTAGAGTTTCCAGGAAGTGAGATTTCTGAGAGTGCGCCCAGCCCACCAAATGATGTGCTCACAGATGGGCTACTGAGGTTATCTTCCCTACTACCAATCTGCTCCATTTCCATCACCACTGCCCAAATTTCCCATCCAACCTATCCCTAGCAAGTCACTGCTCTCCTGAAGGTGAGTCCAGATGTGCAGACTTTTATCTTCCCCATAGCTACAGATCGGGCATACTTTTCCATTCAGCTCAACACTGCAATTAAAACCCTAGGAAGTGAGTATACATGAAATCATTCCTTCCGTCAGAGCAGACAGATGGAGAGACATTCCAGTCTGTTTCCAGTCTTTTGTCTTCAGGGCATTTTTGGCATTTCCTTCAGGAAGTTGAAGGTTGTGACCTAAGGCCTTCCTCAATGAACAGGCTCCTGTTTCCCACAGTTAACCTTACATAGAAATGACATATACTGTATAAGGTAGGGTTTATCTTTATGTCCCAACTGTGTCCTGTCCACACTCAACGGAACTTGAAAGAGCTACCTTTCAGAGTAATAACAATAGAAAGGATGGGGGAGCCAAACAGGCTAACTTAAATTCTCTAGTTTAAGTACTGTTATGGCTGGTCTTTCTAGAACTACGTCCCAGATAACCAAAACATGAACACAGGGTTAATGGGTAGAGAGACTGTGTGGCATAGCCAATAGAGAATTGGACTTAGAATCAAGAAGACCTGGGTTGAAGTCCTGATTCTGACATATGCTAGCAATGAATTTCCAATCTGCATGGTTATAGGTAGTTTGCCCAGGTGGTTCTCCACTATGATGAAATCAAAGGCCTGGACAAAATTAAAAAATAATGACATTAGGATAATCTGATTTTTTGCCAGACTCCTCTCATGTAACAGCTTAAGAAGCTAACAGCACATATTCAGACAAAAGGCAGTGCACATCTTCCAACACTCATCTTCAGGGCTCTTCTGTTTTGTGGGTTGATAGAAAGAGCTAGGAAAAACTGAGTTAGACACTGAATAAATACTACAGACACAATGGAGATTATGTGCTTATCTGATACATACATGCTAGTAATAAATTCAAGTATATCATGTTTAGGCTGTGGGCTCATACTAGAGACTCACAATTTAATAATGTATTTTCTAGGTCCCTTATCTCCATATTTCTAAGCACTCCCTACTATTTATACCCCACTGAATTTAGAGCTATTCACTTACATGCCGTTCTTTTAAAAACCAAAGTTTACTGTAGGATTGATGTGTTTAACTTGGGTAGTCTTAAATGTCATACATTTATAATCCATGACATTTTTCTTGTGAGAGGCAGAATGACCTAGAACAGGATTTCTTAGCCTGGATTCCATGAACTTTTTAATATTTTAATAATTATATTTAAATGTAATTGGTTACTTTTCTAATCCTATGCATTTAATTTTATGTATTTTAAAATGTTATTCTAAGAAGAGGTCCATACGTTTTAACAGACTACCAAAGGGGACCATGAGACAAAAAAAAAAAAAAAAAAAGATTAAGAATCCCTGACCTAGTGGATAAAGAATTGCCCTCAGCTCAAGAAGACCGGGTTCAAATCTAATCTAACATCACTATCAGGGGTCACAGTGTCCTAAAGCAACTCTCTAAGATTGTAAATTGCAGGATAGTTGGGGATCTGCATTGTTGGAAAGCTCCCTACTATACCAATCAAATCACAGTTCCTGACAAGTTGGTTTTTTTTTAAGCATACTTCGTTTTTCAAATCCCCCAAAATTCATTAAAATGCATGACTTTTGCTACTGTGGTATTTTCAAGGTCAGTAATTATCTCATTCTTTTCTACTCTTCATCGTTAACATATTGAAGTTTCTCTTCCTGCAGAAGATCTCGTGGTTTCTAAAAGAACCACAATTTTTTTTCATGCTCCAAGTTATCAATATAAAAGCTTTTAAAAGAAGTAATGACTGAATATTTACCATAATTTTCATATAAAAATCATAAACATTTTTAAAAAAACCTCCATGGAATGTATCCATAAGAAAAAAAATACTCTTGGCAATGGGATCTTTTTTTTTTAAAAATCAGTTTATTAATGTTTAAAAGTAGATAAAGCTATGTGCAAATTGAACCATAAAAGTCAGACATCTTTTAAATACTATCTTAAAAACAAAACAAAACAAAACAAGAAAATCCTCATTTTAATTGCACTGGAAACCATACTACAGAGGCAGAGATATAACTTTTATTTTACGCTTTTTACAAAATCATGTTTCTACACCTCCCCAGTAACTGTATAGTAGTAGGACGTTCTGAGGGAACTACCTGAAGTGTCCCTGTCTGTTACAGTAATGCTCTAGGTCACAGAAGACCTGCATCTTGTTAACACATGTACACATTCAATTCTGTTAACACAGGTTAGAGAAAAAAAATTCAGTAAAACAAAAGATGCAGAACAAATACATTCAAAGAACATGGAAAGGAAATCTGAACACAAGTCGATCGAACACCGACACTTCTCTGTTCAAGAACTGAGGACCCCTCTGAAACACAACAAAGCATCAACCTAAGTGCCAAAGAACAGATATGTCAAGTGTTAGGTAGGGGCATTTAGAAGTCAGAGAGATATCTGGTGGATTACAGCATTCAAAAGAACACTTCCATTTCTGTCAGTTTTTTTTTAACCTTTCCAAAACACTGAGGTCAAAGGTTGGAGCCTCAAAATAACCACCCTCAAATAAACTAATATTTGGATAAACTGGACCTCCTTCCTCCAGCTTTCGACCACAGGAGCTAGGATAAGGCAATTCATGTCATTAAAAGATATCAAGAAATGGCACCCAAAAACAAAACAAACCTGGCTCCAATTAAATTTTTACTTCAGTTTGGGCTAAAGTGGGAACTTTGGACTCAGCGAGTGAAATTATGTGACATCTAAAAGCCGTCTCGGCATCCTCACAGGTGAGTGTAGGGGGACTACTGCAGCTGACCCAGAGGTGAAGTGTGCTTCCATCCCCTCCTCCTCCCGTGAAAGCCAAGGAGTTAATACAGGGAATGGAAAATCTTGGAGTGGGGAACAGTGGAGGAAGGGTGGAGGAGTGGAGATACAACAGGGTTAGTTAGAGGTGGAAGGAAAGGGAGAGTCACCTGGGAAAGGAGGGAGGGGGATACAAACCATCTTGACAGAAACTAGGGCAGAGGGAACCAACTTCTCTTACTTGTTTCCCACTCCCAACAAAGGAAAGCCCAAAGACCCAAACAGACGCTTTCACATAGGGACATTGATCAAGACTTCAAGAAGTAGCCAACTGAAACCTTCAGGAGCCTGACAATGTTAGACCTTAGTCAGACTCAGTGCAAAGTCAAAACAAGTTCCAGGGAGGAAATGTATTCCGAGCCAGGACAGTCTGTCTCTCAGGGACAGAGCTCCACCCTTCCCGGTGCATTGTTCGCGTGGACCAAAACTCCCCACCGCCCACCAGCACCACCACGCTGGCTCTTCTGGCTCTTCCTTCCTTCCCTCCCTCCCTTGCTTCCTAGGGCCCTGAGGCACCACCCGTTGGGGTGGGGCTGGATCGCACCCCAGAACCCCAACAGAACTTTTCCGACAAAGTGTGGGATTGGGAGGGGGAGGCGTCAGCACAGCACCCCCTGTAGGCCTGCAGCAGGGTTCAGTTTTAGGAAGAGGAATTAACGTTGCCAGAGGACATGATAGTCTCCGGGTTGTCGCCGTCGTCCTTCTGCGGGTGGGAAGAATTGTCAGATTTGCTGCGGCTGAACTCCATGCCGCCAATGATGGGCCGCTTGAACTTGGCCCCGGAGTCCCCGCTAGGGCACTTGCAGCAAGACATGATGCGGACGAAGGCCCTCCGCATCTCTTTGTTGGTCAGCGTGTAAATGATGGGGTTGGTGGCCGAGTTGAGCACCGCCAATACCAAGAAATACTCCGCCTTGTAGAGGATTTTACAAGTGTTCACCTTGCAGCCCACGTCCAGAAGGAGCAAGATGAAGAGCGGAGACCAACAGGCGATGAAAGCGCTCAGCACGATGATGACCGTCTTGAGGAGCGCAAGCGACTTCTCGGAGCTCCTGCTGGCCTTAGAAATGTTCTTGCGGAAGGTCAGCCTCCGGCTCCGAGTCCTGACCAGGGAATAGATCCGGCAGTAGAGGATGACGATGGAGAGGAGGAGCAGGGTGAAAACTGTGGTGCAGAAGAGGATATAGTGCTTGTGGTAGAGGGGCAACACGGTGGAGCAGCTGTGTAAGGAGCCGATGCAGTTCCAGCCCATGATGGGCAGGCCCCCCAGGATCAGCGAGATGACCCAGCAGGCGCTGATGAGCAGGAAGGAGCGGAAACTGTTGCTGCCGTTGTGCAGCTTCATCTTTAGCATGGTGATGTAGCGCTCGATGGCAATGGCCAGCAAGCTGAACACTGAGGCCGACAGGGCCACGAACATGCTACCCTCCCGCATGAACCACTGCGCTGGAGTGAGTTTGTAGGTGGTAGCCCCGGAGAGAAGGAGGTTGGCTGTGTAGGCCACCCCGGCCAGCAGGTCCGACAGGGCTAAATTTCCAATGAAATAGTACATAGGCCGGTGGAACTTCTTGGTCTTCCAGATGGTCAAGAGGACGAAAACGTTCTCCAGGATAATGAAGCAGCAGATAAGGATGAATAACACCGAGGTCACTTTGAGGCCGCCCTCCGCGCTGGAGTTCAGCTTTCCCGTGTAGTTGTAATGCTTGACGATGATGTCATAGTTGACATAGTCAGAGACCAAGCTGGGAATGGCCTTGACCGACGGCACACTGGTGGAGCCCATGGTGCTGGGAGAAAGGCCTGCGGAAGCCCAACGCGTCACCTCCCCAGCTGGACGCTAGAGGGCAAAGTCGAGCAAGGCTTCAATGCCCGGCGGGTACAGCGAGCCGTGGCCAGTCTTTTCCGCAGCCCTTCCCCTGCTGAGGGGGCCTCGAAGACCGCGGCCCTAAACAAGGCACAAAGAGGAAAGAGTCAGAAAAAAAGGGCACATCACGTTGGCTTAATTCACCGGAGCTACAGCTGTGGCTCTGTCCATGTTCAGAGAGGGGAGAAAGGGCGGAAAGGAGCCTACAAGGAATCGAATGTCCAACTTTTGCAAAAAGAAAAGTCCTGAATTTTCCCCAAACCGAAAAAAAAAATTCACATTTTCTTCCCTCCCCCCACCTCCACCCCGGCCAAAACTAGACAGAATGAATCAGGGAAGACTTTTTAAAGTAAACCTCGGAATGCTCGTGGTGGATCACACTGCATTTCCAATTATTCCAGACCTCTCCTGAGTCCCTCCCGGGGTAAGGCCCCCCTCCCCCGCCCCACACTTCTAGCTGCTTCACGCGCCTTCTCATTTAACTCTAGTCCAGGCAATTAAACTTCAAGTTTAGAAACCAAGGGTTGGGGGGAGGGGGGAGTGGAGTAGTGCCACCTCGTACCCTCCCCTTCCTAAAAAGGAGAAACGACTACCTAATTGTTATGTATGAATTTCTCAAGAAAATCAGCTCATAAACTAAATCATTCTTTTCACTCTATTAATAGCATCCTCTCGAAGCAGGTGTGCAGTGAAGATCACTAGTGTGCTGCTCCAGTGAGGTGTGCTAAGCGGGTAAACAGGAAAGCTTAGGGCTAAAATGAAGCTCCCCCCCCTTTTTTGCGCAACCTTTGAAAGCAGTAGTAAAACAGAACAAATAGACTTAAAGGAACTCGGTGAAATCCATTCATAACAAAGGGAATTCAGCAGACCTCAACGTTTGAGATTACTAATAAATAGATTGCATATAGGTTGGCTTTTTTTTCTGGTTAAAAAAAAATCATGTTATAGTTAGAATGACAATGCAGATCGTCAAGTTCTGATGTTCCACTCCAAAACTATCTTCAAGAAACTCAAATAACTGAACGTTTTAAAAGATTACAATGTACACCATAAACAATCTCCCACCACTACCTCTTTGGGAAAAAAAGGGGGGGGGTGCTTCTTTCAATAAAGCAGAAAGTGAGGAGGAAAAAGGCCAAGAAGATATCACAAAACTAGAAAGTGAAATTTCTTAATATACTAAAGGCAATGTAGCAACAGTAATAACTAGGTAACAAATGGACCGTGTAAGAGTTAAGGTAGTAACTATCTTGGATAAGCAGAGATTTCTCTCCACTCACTTCGTTGACACCCCACTGTCCTCCCCAACGAATTCTGCAATGGGACCCAGTACAGAAGCAAATCTGTATTCTTTTTAGCACTTTTTCTGCAAGCGTTGTCTATTGGGTTTTCAACAATTACCCTCTCCCCTTTTTCCTTCCTCTCGGCTGACCACCCGCGGATTTTCCCAGCCTTTCGTCCAATTTCGATTTGGCAACCCTTAAAACTCTTGTAAATCACAACTATAAATGCCTCCAAAAACTTGTGCAGGTAAGGGAGTCAGCAGGGTCAGCCTGTCCGATTCGCCTCTCTAGGTGAGGCAATCGCCCGCAAATGTAGTTTTCCATACTAGTAGTAATTAATGCATGCGTCCACATTTTAAAATTTCATATCCAAAGTCAAAGTTTGTTTTCAACAGTTTGCGACCAAAGCCCATTCAAGTCCTGGGCTCCCTCCCGTCTTCCCCCTGTCCAAGCTGCTCCACGGAGCTCTTACCTCACTCAGGCAGGACAAAGTTCGTTTTTAAATGCTTCTGGTCGGCAGGAGCTCGTGCTTGGCATCTTGCTGCCCCAGAATAAATTCAACCCTAGCTACCAAACTTCCTTTACCAAGGGTTCCCCACCTTCCTTGCCTCGCTCTCCAATAGCCAGCTAAGCGCGTTCCGGACAGCCCGGGGAAGTGCAAGCAGGAGATAGAGCCCAATCCAGCAAGCTTAACTAACTGTACTGGTGGTCATATTAGCGTGTATGTGTTTTCTTCTCTGCTGGTTTAGGGAGGGACTGGGAGGGGTTAACGAATCTAATCTCTCACCCCCTCCTCTGGCAGCTGGGGCTCCTCTGGATCTGAATAGTCACTCTGGACTCTCCAGGAAAGGAGCTGGGTTGATGGGAGGGGAGACCGAGAGGAGGGGGACGCAAACCACCAACCAGACCTAGCTTCGGAGGAGGAGCCTGGGGCCCCCTTGTAGCTATAATGTATAAATCACAGTCCTTTAGCTGCCACGGTGCTGCTCTCGGGTGGTGAAGCTTATTCATACCCGCTACTCTTTTGAAAAGAGAGTGGGGGAGGGAGGAGGCTGAGAGCTTTGGAAAACTTCTCTTTTTTCTAAGTGTTTGGATGCCTAACACTGGGTTGTCCTAAGCAAACCCGTAGACTCCTTCCAGCCTCCTTCCAACCCCCTCCACATTCCCACTCTCTCCCAGAAGTCACTTCCACACAACCTCTTCTCTCCTCTTCTTTGCTCTCCTCTCCTCCTCATACCCACCCCCAGGAGCTATTAACCAAGGTCCCTGCCCTGGGCCGCTGGGGAGTAACCACAGGGTATAGGAAGGGAGGTGCTGGGAACCAGAGAGACGCTTCCAAGAAGCCAGTGCCCGAGCTTGGGAGAAAAGGGGGGAGGGCCTGGGAGGGAGGGGGATGGCAAAGTGGTCTTTGATTCAGGGAAACTGGATAGGCAAGACTTGAAGAATGTCCCCCATCTTCCTTTTTTGCTCCATTTCTCTTTCCGCCACACTCACCGCCAGTTCTCTTTTGAGGCTGGCTAGGGCAAGCATCTTGGGAAGGGGAGGAGGGGCAGAGATTGTGGGCAGAGGAAAAAAAAATTTGGCTCTTATTGAGTGGAATGCCATAGCATCGCGTCACAAGAGAAATGGGAAAGGAAAGGAAAGAGAGATAGCCCGGGATGATGGGAAGAACGGAGGGGGTTGGAAGGGGGTATTTCCATGGCTGTATAAAGTGGGCTAAAGGTCAAGATCAGAAAAAGTGGGGTGTAGAGGCAAGACTCTTGAACAGGTCAACAAATCACCTTACTTCTTTGGCCTTCAATACCCTAAGCTATAAAACAAGAGGATTGGGCTAAATTTGGTCTCTCAGATCCTTTCCAGGTCTCACATCCTGTCATTCTGTTTTCTCCTCGCCCCTTTCCATGTCATTCTCCTTCTCAATCTCTTTGTCTGTTTATCTTATCTCTGTCTCTCCTCCTTCTCTGCCTCTGTCTCTCTGCCTGTCTATCCATTTCTGTCTCTCCCTCTCCCTTTCTGTGGGTCTCTCCCTTTATCTGTTGGTCTGTCTCTTCCTCTTCTCCCTCCCTCCCTCTCCTGTTCCCTTTTGGATTGGACTGTTCCTCTACAGTGTGTGGATTACAATCAATGTCTTTAAATGAAGAGAATTGCAGGGGGCTGGGGGTGGAGTCAATGCCTAGAAACTCTGAAGAAAGGAAAACCCAAGCTTACTCTCCTGCCAGAGGTCCTCTCAGGCCCCCCAAACAGCAGGAAGTCTTCCCTTCTTGCATCACTCTACCTAGTAAGAAAGTCAAAGCTAAAGAACACTATGCTTAGCCTTTAGACCCAACCCCCCCTCTGTCTTACTTTTTTTTTTTTTACTTCACCATTTAAGAACATGGGCAGGGTTCAGATAAAACACATGTAGTTGGCAAAAAACATGATACCTCTATTCAGCTGATAAATAGTCCATTTCCACCTAGGCACTAGCCATATTTACTTCCCTTAAGATTCTGTGATTCTATGTTCTGGCTCTTCAGTAGATGTGAAGAAACGTATCTTCCTCTGCTGTCTAGTTTCTATTGGTGTACACACCCTCTACCTGAATGAGTCAGAAGAACGCTAGAAGAATAAACATCAGACCCCTAGCCTCTAGAATGTTATGAGTTTGCAGGAAAAAATGAAAAGTTTCTTGTTTTAAAGTAACGGTTAGTTCACATCTGTCTTGGAGCTCCCTTTAATGACAAACTTTTACAATGCACAAAACTATACATAAACATCACAAACTCAAACACTAACTTTAAAAACACATGCTTTAGAAAGAAGAGAATTCTCTGACTTTAATGTGTCTCAAGTTGCATTTGAGAACTTAATTTAAAAGGAGAGATGGATGGTAATTTAGCAATTATCTGTTAGTATAATTGTAGACACATTAGACCAGTGCACACAGACACATGTGTAGACAAATTGCACCATCTCTTGTCTGGATGGGTACAATATTTTCCCCATGGCTAGTTACTACTTACTCCAGCCTATCCTTACCATGTTACCAAAAAAAAATTTTGATAGGTTATGGGATAAGGGCATCCTAATAAGGAAATTTTCTCTACCAATATAGTTCCCCATGTGCTATGTAGTTTAAAGTCTTGGAGAGTTAACTTTCTGGAGAGTTAACTTGGAGAGGTTAAGTGACTTGTTCAGTATCACTCAGCCAGTTTGAGTCAAAGGTAAGGCTAAATCCAGGTCTTCCTGACTCAGAGACCAGTTCTCCATCCATTATGCCACACTGCCTCACATACTGCCAGGTTAATCTTCCTAAAACACTTCTGTGTGTGTGTGTGTGTGTGTGTGTGTGTGTGTGCACGTGTGTATTTATCTCCAAAGTTCCCAGGAGCTCCCTATTGCTTTGGCAAGGATTCTTAATCTGGGGTCAACAAATATCATAGACAGATTTCAAGGGGTCATGAACTTGGGTGAAAAAAATACATCTTTATTTTGACTAACCTTTGGCTTCCTTTGAAATCTAATGTATGTTATTTGATGCATTTAAAAATATTATTCTGAGAAGAGATCCATAGATTTCACTAGACTGCCAGAAGAGTTCATGAAAGGTTACGAATCCCTGGCCTATAGACTAACTTCAACTCCTTAGTCTGATGTTAAAGGCCCTCCACAATTTAGTGACAACCTCCTTTTCTAGACTTTTGTGTTATGGACCTCTTTGCAAGTCAGGTGAAACCTATGGGACCTTTTTCAGAATAATGTTTGTAAATGCATAAAATAAAATCCATAGGATCACAAAGGAAACCAATGGTTAGAGAAAATAAAGATGCCATTTTTATGTCATTCTGGTTCATCTACCCCCTGAAAACTATTCATGGAAGGAGTCCATAGACCCCAGATTAAGATCTCCTGCTATGCATGTTCACCTGGAAGCTCCAGCCAAGCTGCTAGACTTTCCCTACTTATGTCCCACGGTTTCCCACTTCCGTGTCTTTTCTCAAGCTATTTTCCTGTATCTGATATGTCCTCTCTCCCAATTTCAACCTGTTAAAATCTTGCCAATTCTTTAAGTCTCAGCACAAATGTCTCCTCCTCCATGAAGCCATCCTTGATTTATCCAGTTGATAATGATCTTTTTTTCACTTAGATCTGGTGTAATATTTTTCTCTTCTCCAATGCTTTTGTCATATAAATTTTTGTATTATAGTTCCACAATTCAATTTAATTCGACAAACATTTATTAATGTGAAAGGTACTTGGCTAGTTTGGAAGAATATTTAAAATCTAACAAATATTTCTCTAAAGTCTTTCCTAGACTTCTCCATTTAGAAAAATGTATAGAAAAAAAAGCAGAAGTTCTGAGAATATGGATTAAGGGGTGACAAGCAATTTAAAGGAGGGGGGCGACACATGTGCAGAGCACCTGGGACAACAGCTTTTCATATGGAGAGGCTAAGGAGTATGCTTCTCAGAGAATCACGATGACATACAGGAAATGCCTTGGAGAGACAATGGAGCATGGGTGGACATTATGTAACTGTTTCTGGTTAGCTAACCACATACCGTAGACTTTGGCTTTGGAGGTACTCAGAAAAGCCTCTCAGACTTGGCTACTTCCCCTTTAGTCTTATTCACTCTTGGTGTCATTTGGTGAATCCTTCACTCACCCAATCTGGTGAGAGACCATTCAACGGAAAGGTCTTAGGGGTCTTCTTCCCATCTAAGGTGGTATGGTCCCATGATATGACCCTTAGCTTCTAAAGTGCACTAAAGGTCAAGATCAGAGAAAGTGGGATGTAGTCATCAGTCCTTAGCCTCTGCTTTTGGTTTTACTTTTTTTTTTTGTCTTATTTTCCTTGTTAAGCAAAGAAATTGGAGTCTTCATCCCTAGGAGTTTTGAAGGTTAGGAAGGTCAAAGGAATATGGGAAATAGGTCTAGGACAGGTTTTGCAGCCAAGGAATAAGGAGCAACCTCTAGAAATGACTTTCAGAACCCCAGATAGCCCAGCAGTAACTCAAACGAGGATTCATTCAATAGAGATGCTGTCTTTGCATGTGAACTTGGTGGGACTGATGCTGTATAGGAAATGAGTTAAGCTTTAAGCTTATTGTCCCAGGGACAGAGGAGGTATAGAAGTGAGTATGCCCATCAAGATGTCGGGGAAGGGTGGGATATTTGTATGTTCTTGCTATACCTTTGAATTAAACAGTTCTCTGTCAAAGCTACTTGATGTTATTTGTGTAACCAAGACTTGTCTGGACACAGCAAGAAGGGAAGGACTTCCTTCCCTTGTTCCCTCTCTTACCCCTGCTCCAAGAAATGAACCTGGAGGTGTTTGTTTCTATTCTGCTTGGTTTGTTCTCCTAAGTTTCAGGTTCTGGAGGTGATCCCCATAGGACCTACAAAGAGCTTGAGCCAACCTTGGAACCAGGATTGATGCAGGGAAGTACAACTAGCCAGCCCAGTATGGCAGCCGTGAAAAGCCAGGGTGCCTCTGCCTCAAGCCCACGAGGGCTTTTGGATATATAACTGGGGTTGTGCTATAGGAATGGAGTTAAACTATGAACGTAATACCTCTCCGCTAAAGCTGATGTGGCACAAAGTGGGGGGGGGGGATAAGGAATATGCCTCCCTTGTGCTGAGAAGTAAGTTTGCATGTTTGAGATTATACCTCCTAAAGTAAATATTTCTGTGTAAATGCTAATATAACTTTTAATGGCTAAGTATGATTGCAGTACAAGGGAATGAGCCCCTATATTTGGGGGAACACCACCAGCAGGAGCTGGAGCCACGTGATATCTACCCCAAATCCCCTGAAAGGTACCAGAAAATACCAGAGAAGTGATGAAATGTAGCCTAC